TCTACCTACTTACCATCCATATCCACAATTTGTAATGCTTCCTCTATCTACTTTCGTTTCTGTTTTTATGCTGTGAAGGACAAGCCATCCACAACTGTGGTCGCTCCTGTATTGCAGTAATAACTAGTTCCAATTTTTCGACGCCACGCGTCTCCGTAAATGAGGCCTTACTTTGGCCCTAGCATCAAACAATATGTTCAGAAGAAAACTTTTTTGTAAGGTCTCAGTTTAGAGATAAGAGATTTGTTTTATGTCACGTTCTTTATCTAATATAGGTTATAAATTAATGAATTCAGAAAGCAGCTTCTAAATATCATTCGTATCAACTTTGCCGATGGGTGTCTGTTGGAGCCTCCTTTTGTCTAAAACGTGCAAATTAATTTTCGATGACGTCTTGATTTAATGTTTGAGTAATTAAAAATCTCATCGGCGAATCTGTTGATTCCTCATGAAATAATTGCAAAACTGCTTCACGTGATTGAACAACTCCATCAAAACATGGTGGGCGGGTCATTTTTTTTTTTCACATTGGCCAAGCTTGATTTTTTTATATGAAATTTTCTGTAAATTTTCAAATAAATTTTTACCATTAACTGTTGCTTTACTGATTTTTTGGAATGAATTTGGATTTATATACTAATCCCTTAATTTTGTCAGTGATATACTAGATTCTGATTTTTTATCGATCTCATATGTTTTCACAACATCTTGGAAAGAGAGTTCGTTTTCACCATTTATAAAATTGTTTGTGATAAAATTATTTCGTATGTTTTTTATTAAAGTAATATTGCTCTTGTCAGATTTAGCAATATTAAAATAGTTACACGCATGCAATGGAAACATTGTTATTTTCAATTTTATTGCCTTAATATTGATTTGTATTGATTAAAAGTTAAGTAGAACTTATTTATTTACACATATCTCTTCAATATTTTTGGTTTATTTTTTATTATTTTAATAACACATAGGAAATAATTTCTCGTTAAAGAAAAATACGTGATGTTTACTTCGTAAAATTATGTCAGCGCCATCTATACGCTCCTTGGCGAAACTACCAGTTGACACTAGACTATATAGATTGTTTTTTGAAAGTTTATAGTAGGCCCCCTGGTCTTTCGCAATTTATAATCAGCACTCTGAATTTTTTTTTATTTTTTTTTTTATTGTGACTCGGCAAAATGACAGCACCGCGCCTGATGGAAAGTGCGAATACAGTCCAGAGATGAGAGTAACGGATGGAAAACACAAATATCTTCACTCCGTCACTATCATTTTGCCGGTCTGGCCAAATGCTTCTTCACACTACGTTTGAAGGACCCGATGTTATAGAGGGGAGGGAATACATGCGCCTGGAGTTGGTTCCACAATTTGATGGTTCGGCATAAGAACGAATTGCCAAACTTTTTAGTGCGGGACGGTATTGAACTGACCGTCCAACTGTGGCAACGGAGTCCGGCACGGGTGGTCCGCTGATGGAAAGGAGAGGAAGGGATAAGGTCGAATATCGATGTTCATAGATTTAACTTAAAAAATGAAGGAATTTTATACAAAAGTTCATCGCTTATTTAACCCCCTTAAGGTAAGAATTTCGTAAAATTCTTGTGATGTAATTAACTGCTGCAGTTTCGGCACGGCAATGATAAATCAATTAGGACAAGCGCGCTTATATGTATTTACTCTTATTTGTTGTAACAGGCCAACAACCGTCCAAAGCATCGCAAAGTGATGAGGTTGAAACTTCAGAATCTGTTATTAGAGAAGTTCGTTCAGAAACTGCTTTTAAATAGCTACAAAAAAGACACCTTAAAAAACCGAATCCCACATAAGACAGTCATTAGGCGATAACAAAAGTAGTAAGTAATGTAACAAGAAAAAGCACCATACCAGTAAGCGTGGTGTTTTCGATCAAAAACACCGGCAGTTTGGTAACGTTTTATATTATTTTTAATTTAAAAATTTTAAATAGCTACAAAAATAACTACTTAGTAAAAGCGGCTCTCACGTAAGACGGTCGTGAGACTCCTAAGGCAATAACAAAAGGATTAGTGATAATAATAGCCTGGCTTAGGATTAAATCAATTCAACAAAAAAGTACCATGCTAGTAAGCGTGGTGGTTTCAATCAAAATTTTCTTAGCATGGTGGCTGCGGTATGCCGTGGTGACCACTACAACATCGAGGTGTACAAGTCTAGTAAAGCTTGTTGTAGGTCGTAGACCACAAATAAAATGGTTATTGGCATTGACTTACAAATAAATGGACGACGGGTCTAATACAAAAACCACGAAAAAAATGTCCCAAGTCAACCTATTCGAAATTTAAATTGTAATGTCATCGCAGTATCGCGCTGTCAGTAGAACAAATGAAGACTAAAGCGGAGTGTCGCGCTCTGTATACGATTTTAGCGCCTTACAAGCGCGGACACTTTTTAGCGCGGACCCGACGTCCATATAAGACTACGTTCAGATGACAAGCGCTCAACGCGCGATCAACGCGCGTAAAATTTTTGTATAGTGTTTACATGACACGCGCTTGTCAGGCGTCGAACGCGCGTTGCCGCGACCGTCATGGTATTCAGTACAGTTCTTACATTTGTTGAAGATGGACGTTGAAACAGTTTTAACAGTGATTCTATACCGACGGCTGAAACGACGCGACAGAAGACGCAGATATTGGGTCCACCCAATTTTGTCACACAGGCTGACTGAAAACCAGTACATAATTTTGTATCCTAAGTTAAGGCAATTCGGACCCAAATTTTTTAACTTCTTCAAAATGTCCATCAAGTCATTTGATGAGTTACTGGCTCTCATAAACGATGAACTCGTAGCAGATAGTTACGCTGTGCGATATTGCATTTCACCAGAAGAAAAACTCATAATAACATTGAGGTAAGTTTTTTATTAATCAACATCTATAAATCAATGAAATCAAATCAACTTGTTCAGAAAAGAAATAAAAAAAAAATTTGTTAATCGCAGAATAACTCTAATTCCGATTCACTGCTGGCGACGGAGTGTGTATTACTGGCGATCCCATTGCTGTAGTGTAACCATAATGTGCTAAATTATTTGGCACACTAGATTGCTGTGATTGATAATGTTGAA